CCAAGTGTTGTATCTAATGCTTTATGGGGATTTTAAAAATATTTTAATATAATTCTTTACTGGCAAAGTGTGATTGGACACACATGGAATTTGTCGGGTGAATAAGCTCTCATTATTGTACATAAAAGCTATAAGTGATAATCATGATCATAGTCATAAAAATACATTCATAAATCATAAGATACAACACTTGGTTATAGTCATAGGATACTAAATAAGCAATCAATGTAAATCACACTAGGAAACTAAATAAAACAATGTAAAGATACAAGCAACAAAGTTATAGTCAGAAGTAGAAAAGGAGATAGATAATAGGAAAGATGAGAATAATAGTAATACAGCCTTACTTAAATAGCTTGACAGTGTTGTGGGAATTAGTTGTTTAGCAGAGTGATGGCATGGAGAAAAAAACTAACTAATGAAACAATGCCTGGATTTGCAATGAATATGCTTTGATAAACCTCCGTTTATTAATATTTTTTTTCTTTAAAACATTTAACATATAAACCCTGGAAATCCACAAAGACATGCTAGGTCAGTGAATGATCAACAGGTAAAAGTAAGACTTTGTATTATTATTGCATCCATGAAAGAAACTTTCGGAATGAAACTAAGATGTGCAATATGGGATTATGCAGAGGGGGGTGGGGGAGCCAGAGCTAAACAGATTGACCAGCAGAGTTAAAAAGCTTTGACCTACTTGGTGGAGGACATAAGATTAGCTTAATGACTGACATATTAGTAATCTGTATGCTGGCAAACTATCGTTAAATGACATGCACCTGTTTCTTGTTGAGCCCATGAGCTGCTTCTGAGGGGATGTTTTGAAGAACTGCAAATAATGACATGCATATAACCAGCAATTTTCAAGGTCAAGATCTTTAGAAATTAATTGGCTTTCTTACATCCAGTGTTTCAACAATCTGCCAAAAGTCTACATGATATGGGAATCATGGGTAGAGGATTTCTAATAAAAACAGTACCTTAACTGAGACTAAATGAGATAAAAAATATATTTTATATATTAAGATATGTTTCAGGTTTTGAGCACTTAATCTAAGTCTGCTGAATAATTGTCACTGTATTTTAAAAGTTCACATGAAATTTTATTTTTTCTACCCTAAATAAATTGTATGGGGTAATTTAGACCTTAGAATTGATGAAGAAATAGCTATATGAAAGATTTGGATGGATAGGAGTTTTCCTTTGATTTGTTATTAGATAATAATGAGTTCTAATCATTTTCAGTGTTAAAACAAATATTTTTATTATCCCCTACTAGCTGTATTTATAATTACATTTATTAATATTTTGATTTGGGCTGGGTTTTTTTNTCTATCTATCTATCTATCTATCTATCTATCTATCTATCTATCTATCTATCTATCTATCTATCTATCTATCTATCTATCTATCTATCTTCCTTCTACCCATCCATCCATCTATCCATTCATCCATCCATTTATCTATCTCTTCATATATTTGTGCTGTCATCATATACTTTTCTCCAGTAGATTGTCTTATCATGCCCATTTATGCCTAAAAGCTTCCCTTAATTCTTGTAATGTTCTTTAATAAAGCTCTTATTATTTTAATTTGATTTCTGTCCTTAATTTCTTTGCATTGTTTATGGACATATATAGATCCTTCCTGTTTTCTGCAACCCTCTTTTTTGGGAGAAAATTCTCTTCAGTTCTTTTCAGCAAATCCTCAAGCAGCTTTTTTTTCACTTTCTTTTTCTTTTTTTGCATCTCGGGGATATTTTTGTTTGCTTCATCTTTCATGTTGGCACAAATTTCAGTCCAGAGTTCGCATTTATCAATTTATTAAACTGACTCTATTAAGCCTGTTCTTTACCTGCGTTGCATAATCGCATGAAATATTGCTGAGGTCATATCTTTTTGGCCCAAAGATGTTTGTTTTGCTTTAGTTTCATTCCATTTGGAACTTGTGAGGAGTTTGTGAGAGAAACTGCAGTCAACACCAGGTCTTATTTCTACTGACTTGAATACAGCTGCTCCATCCTTACTCGAAGATTTTCATCTTTGCTTGAAGGCAGTTTTCTCATGATTCAAGAAACTATTATGCGTCCAGCAGCTGTAGGATTCCATTCTTCTATACAGTTAGTCCTCAACTTACAACAATATTTAGAACAGAATAGATTAACAGAGTTGAAAGGGACCTTGGAGGTCTTCTAGTCCAATCAAAAACCCATAAAAATAAACAAGGTTATATTTTGCAGCCACGGCCTAAGCTGCTGCCTGGGAAATCTGTT